AAATTTTAAATTTTTTGAGTGTGTTTACTTCTCGGACCGATGAGATTTGACCTTTAATTTTAATAATCTTCTTTCTGAGGTTTGTTCAAATGTTTGAGGTCAATGATTCGTGAATATTTTTGTATTAGATTTGGTATGGAGGACATTGTGATGGGATATAGACCTGCATGTGGTCTGAATTTATAACTCGATTTCTATCATGCTGATTCATTATATGCAAAAATAAGTATGAAAATTTATCAAATTTTATTTAATTTCTTCAAATTCTCTCAAAATTACAATTTTTATTCTCATTTGATACGCTCAAGAATGCAGTCAGACAATTTTTCTAATTTTTCAGTTATTAAGTCAAAAAGCTTCTTAGTTTCACTGATCCTTAGTTCCTTATCTTCCTCTTTATATAACAACATCGTCTTCACTGTGATTAAATCTTCAAAGTAATCAGAAATAACTCCGCAAGTTGTTTCATTCAATCGACCAATTTGTTCCTTATAAGTCCATGTTGGGACACTGTATGGTTGAAAACTTACATCATAGTAATCACAACGGTCTTTGTAGGATTCATCTTTTCTGGAAGTAACGGAAAGCTTCGATGTTGGCTCAAGTTTTTGTAATTTGAGTTTAGCACAAATAAAGTATAAATCAATCAAGTCTTCATCATCATAAACGAAATCAATAAACAGGTTTGAGAACTCCAATGGGTCGACTTTGATGCACTTTGACATTGCTGATGCGATTAAAATTTGAGCTTCAACTTCAGCAAGTGCTTTGCCGCCAATTTGTGGGAGGTTAAGCTTCTCTTTGACACAATTATAGTCGATAGCGTCTTCTACTTTGATGAGACGTCTGTAGTAGCCAGTGACATCGAATTGTTCGGGATTAGTATGTATTGATGCTTCTTTGTAGTAGAAATTGAGGGTATTATTGGCTAGGTATGCTGTGGGCAATAAATAGTGAGAAAAATCAGATCATAGCTTCGAAATTAGGAGGAATAACCTCAAAATTAGACAATGAAACCTCAAAATTAGACAATGAAACCTCAAAATGAGTCAACATAACCTCAAAATTAAGCAACATAACCTCAAAATTAGGAAACATAACCTAAAAATTAGAACATAAAACCTCAAAATTCAGGCAACATATCCTCCAAATCTGAAAACATAACCTCAAAATTAGTCGACACAACCTCAAAATTAGAACATATAACCTCAAAATTTAGGCAACATATCCTCAAAATCTGGCAACATAACCTCAAAATTAGTCGACATAACCTCAAAATTAGAGCATATAACCTCAAAATTAAGCAACATTACCGGAAATTATGCAAACCTAACCTCAATATTATTCAGCATAACCTCAGAATTAGGCAACATAACCTCAAAAGTAAGCAACATAACCTCAAAACTAGACGACATAATCTAAAACTTTGGAATCATAACCTCAAAATCAGACAAAATAACCTCAAAATTAGTCGACATAACCTCAAAATTAGAGCATATAAACTCAAAATTACGGAACATAACCTCAAAAGTTTTAGACGTAACCTCAAAATTAGGCTCTTTACCTCAAAATTAGGCAACATAATCTCAATAATCATCACTTACCTTCTGGATCATTCTCAAACCTGTTGATAATGCAATTGACTGTCCTTATTGAAACATCCTTAAAATATTCCTTCAACTTCTCCTTTTCAGACCTCTTCAACTCCTCACTGATGTCTCCATATTTAATTAAAACTCCTTTGCAGAAAAATTTAAAAAAGTCTTTGCCACCATTTTCGCTCACTGCTCCACACGTATAGGCTTTCAATGGTCCAAGCTTCCTTTCCAGTGACTCCTGCATTGACACAAAATCATCAGCAGTGATTTTCTTGCACTCTTTAAGCTCCGCTTCACTCATTTCAACATTCTCAGCTAGTTTTGATGTTGGCTCGACTTGATACAGATGATATTTTATGCACGACATGTTTACACGTTTACTTATGCTTACATATTGATCAAACTGCTTTTGAAAGGCTTTATCTTCATCTGAGCACTTCATACCAGCAGCAGCTGTAAAAATCATTTCTTCAATCACATGCACCATCAATTTATTGTTTTGTGGAAGCTTAAAGAAGTTATTGACGCAGTCCATGTCGTAGACATTCTCAACTTCATCATGTTGATTATTATTTTCGATGATATTTTCAAGGACACGACTTATTTTAAACTTTTTGAATTCATGATCGCACTTTGACTTTTGAATTAAAGCTATTAGAATGAAAGCAAATAAGATTGATCGGAGGATGAACTTCATTGTGACTACTTTGAATTCACAAGTAAGACTGAGAGAGTTTATAGTCGACTATAATAATACATTACTAGTATAGTCCCTCGTCAAGCATGACGAGAAAAAATAATATAAATCATACAAAATAAAAAAAACCCACCATTTTGAATTTTTACGATACTAAAAAGGGGGCGTGGCTTAGGCGGAAATCACTGCAAATAAATTACTACAAATGTGGAAGAATATTTTATAGATTCTTAAGATGTGACGTCATTACAACAGCTCTCATTCATCCGCACGAGAGGATCAACTTTAAAATTCACTCAACTTTCAAATTCATCCTCAGTCTTAATACTGAACCGAAAGCATCAACAATGAAGTTCATTATCAGTCATATTTTGATAGCTTTGACTCTAATCGCAATAATTAACGAGTCAAAGTGTGATCGCGATCCTCCGAAATACAGATTAAGCTACATCGTTGATAAATTTATTGAAATGAAGAACAAGCTGATGGATATAAGTGAAAGGGACGATATCGTTAAGAACATAAACATTGACTGCGTTAATAACTTCCTCAACTTACCTCAAAATGATAAAATGATTGTTGGTGAACTTGAAATCATGATTTTGTCAGTTGCTATGCCTTTAAAATGTTCAGATGAAAATAAATTTATGAATCATTTAATCAACACATTTGTGCCTGAAAGATTGACAAGAAGTCATAATTGTTCAAAATTGTACCTTAAACAGCTTGAGCCAGGATCAAAATTAGTTGAAAATTTTGTAATTGACGATGAAAGTGCCAAAAAATGTAAAGAAGAATTTAAAACTGACAAAATTAAGAGCCTTCAGTTAAAAATTGAACGTGAAGTTGGTCCATTAAGTGAATTTTCATGTGGAGCAGTGACTGGTGCTGTTGATTACTTTAAATTAATAAGCAAAGCTGGTTTACTTAAATATGATAACATCAATAAAGAGCTTAAAGATGAAGAAATGGCCAAGTTAAAGGAATATTTCAAAGACATAATATTTAAGACTGCTAATTGCATCAGACAAAGATTCGAGGATGATCCTAAAGGTAAGATGCTAGCCTCCTTTTACAAACTTAGTTAAATTTGAGGTTATGTTGCTGAATTTTGAGGTTAAGTTGCTGAATTTTGAGGTTATGTTGCTGAATTTTGAGGCTAAGTTGCTAAATTTTGAGGTTATGTTGCTGAATTTTTAGAATAAGTTGCTGAATTTTCGCTGGATACGTTGCTAAGTTTTAAGGTTAAGTTATTGAATTTTGAGGTTATGTTGCTGAATTTTGAGGTTATATTGCTGAATTTTGAGGCTAAGTTGCTGAATTTGGAGGTTAAGTTGCTGAATTTTGAGGTTATGTTGCTGAATTTCTAGGTTATGTTGCTGAATTTTGAGGTTATGTTGCTGAATTTGGAGGTTAAGTTGCTGAATTTTGAGGCCAAGTTGCTGAATTTTGAGGTTATGTTGCTGAATTTTGAGGTTATGTTGCTGAATTTTGAGGTTATGTTGCTGAATTTGGAGGTTAAGTTGCTGAATTTTGAGGTTAAGTGACAGAATTTTTAGAATAAGTTGTTGAATTTTGCTGTATACGTTACTAAGTTTTTAAGGTTAAGTTATTGAATTTTGAGGTTATGTTGTTAAATATTAAGCTTAAGTTGCTGAATTTTGAGGTTAAGTTGCTGTATTTTGAGGTTAAGTTGCTGAGTTTTTGCTGGATACGTTGCTAAGTTTTGAAGTTAAAGTGTTGAATTTTGAGATTAAGTCATGAATTTTTTGGTTAATTTTGCAATTTTTAAAATGATGATATTTATTTTAAGCTCATATTTAAATTGTATTATTTTTATACTTTTAGCATCTCTCACCAACGATACCTTGAACTATTTCTACGAAAAATCATTAAAACAAACTTTTCAAGAATCCAAAAACCTTGAAGATTCCATCGACCAAGAATGTGTCAAAGAAAAACTGAACCTTTCAGAAAATGGAAACAAAGCTCTTCTTGAAGTCGAAGCTAAAATATTGCTTGCATCAGTCAAATCAAAATGCATCAAACTTGACACATTGGACTTCGTTAACGTCTTCCTAGATTTTGCAGTTAACGACCACCAAAAATCAAAAATGTATGTTCAATGTGCTATGTCTGCATTAAAAAAACTTGAACCAACTACAAATTTTGCTCCAAATTTCATAAACGTTCAAGAATCTGAGAAGGTTTGCAAAGGCTTTTCATCAGAAATTTATCCATTCGAAAAAGTCGTTACTCGCTATCAAAAAACTGTGAGCAGCTTGAATGAACCTGCTTGTCGATTGTCAGACAACGAAGTTGATGTAATCTCAAATAAGATGATATTGATTTCTGTTGAGGAGGATGAAGAGCTGAAGGCAAGTGAAGCTAAGCAGCTGTTTAGTGTAGTAACTGCAAAACTGTACAAGCTGGCTGACTGCATACTTAAAAGATTATGAATCATGTTTATTAAATCTCTGGATGATTAAACATGTCGTTTTAATTACTCAACATCCTTTTGAATCATTAAATGAATAAAATTCGTCGTTCGTACCAGAAAAAAATGTATTTTGAATCATTTTGAAGTCATCAGTTGAACAATTGAATCATTAAAATCTAATAAATTATTTAAAATTGAGATAAATTAAAAAGAAATTAAATTGTGCCTTACAATTGTCTGCTTGAGAAAGTCAACAAATAAAAAAATGACGATTAAGGAAGTTTTTGTGTAAGTTTGGCTGATTTTATAGTAAATTTTACATCCATATTTTATGTATTTAGCTTTGTTGCCTGCTTTGCTATGCTGTGTGGATTTGGTGACTCTGTTGATATTCAATGCGAATATGGAACTAGTTTCTATCATGCTGTTGGTTATGTTTATGAATGCGTTCTCCAAAACACTCTCAACATAAAATCAAGAGAATCAGCTGTGATTAATTCGGTGAATGGAAGTCATTCAAGTGGCAAGACCAGTGCTGATGTGACTGGGTTTTGGTCATGGGATTCCACTCGTGTCATCGAATATTTCCCGCGTAATTTGGACAATATTTTCACAAATCTCAAAATGATTGTGATCCAATATGGTCGACTGAAGGAAATTCAGCAAAGTGATTTGAGGCCTTTTACAAAGTTGGTGTATCTTAACTTGTATCAAAATGACATTGAATTTCTTGAGGACGGATTGTTTGCTTATAATCCAGAATTGGAATTTGTTAACTTTGTTTCCAATAAAATAATTCACATTGGCTCTCAAGTTTTTGACAATTTAAATAAATTGACTTGGTTGTACCTTCATAAAAACACATGCATCAACATGGATGCTGAAAACAATCAAACAGCATTGAAAGAAGTCATCAGTCAAGCAAAAGTAAAATGTTACAACAGCGAATACTTAATAATTGACAACGAGCTAGCAATGATCGAGGATAAACTATTTTGTGCAAACTCTGAGGCACTTCCAGTTCTCACACAACACCTCAAAGATCTTCAAACCCAATACGAAAAGTCAAATTTCTCAAAGTCTTGGTCATTAAAAGAAAGATTCGAAGCTTTAAATACGTTCAAAATCCAAAATCGTGGTTCAGTTGGGAAAAAAATGATGACAAAGCTTGAGAAGATCCAGGATGACATCAGCATGACATCAACAATGCAAAAGATCATCCCAGCAATATCAACAACTGACAATTCTATGAAGTTAGTCATCATCATTTCATGTTCAATCATGTTCCTGATCAATATTGTTCTTATTGTCATCTACCATAAGATTAAGACAGAATAATGGATCTTATGTAAGATAATTAAATGAAATTAATTAAGTTTTGTGATTAATTAAATTTATGAATAATTTATATAATTTAGGATGACTCAGCATACACAAAAGTCGGACCATAACCGCAATATTACAATTTATCATCAACATATTCATATTTAATATTTTATTTACATTTATTTTATTCAAATATTTATTTATTATCAAGTTGCACTGTAGACACTGGCTTTCATATTAATCATATCTCCTCGCAATATATCCATCATATTGCTATGCATCTGTGATTCATCCAGACCATATAGTCATCCCTACATCATTGTGGATCATATAATCAGTCATATTGCCACATCAACACTACAAAGGAATGAAAGATGCCAAAAACAACCCTTTTAAGCAGTTTTTCTCAAACTTTTTTGATTCATGGCACATTTTCCATCAAGTGTGCCGCAGCACAAAATTTGAGAACCACTGTTTTTAAGCTTAATAAGACACAATCACAAAATAATCAACAGTTTGGTCTATGGTGCAATTATATCATATTCACAATATATTTATGTACTTTCCCAAATAATCAAAAATAAATAATAAAAATAATTCCCAACTCCCCCGAAAAAAATAAACTTGTATTTTTAAAATATTACAGAAGTCCTCGTGTTATTGATCGAGGGTCTTAAGCGCATTTTTGTGTTGTCGATCAGTATTTGATTATGTAATTATTTTGCGTTCATTTACAGATCATGAGAAGATCATCAATTAGCAAATATTTATAATGAATGCTTATATAGAAAGGCTTTATTATTTAACGGTCAATAAATAATTTGAAACTTTCCCGCTAAAAGTTGCACTTCAAAAACAATAACTAAAGTATAATTATTAATTTGTAGAAATGAATTTCCATATAGAAAAAGTTTATCGTTTAACGGTTTCTTGAGATTCAAATTTTCTAACGGTCAGTAAGTTTTTGAAAGCTTTCCGCCAAAAGATACACAAAAAATCATTAATTATAGTATATTTAACAATTTAATATCTTTAATTCTCATAAATAAATTATTTATCATTAAACGGGCTTCTGAAGTTCAAATTTTGTAACGGTCGTATGCATTTGAAAGTATCTTGCCAAAAGTTACAGTAAAATCATTAATTATAGTATAAATAACAGTCTGTTCCAAAAAATTTTCATTTAAAAAGGCTTTGTAATTCAACGGTTTTTTGAGATTCAAAAATTTTTAACGGTAGGAATAAATTCGAATTTCTAAACGCTTTCATCACGTGGTTTTGTTTATGAAATATAAAAATCATTAATTATAGGACAAAAAGACTGTTTCAAGACTTTTAAATGCGTTTCCCGAAAATAAAACAATGAACCTGAGCTAATAAAACAAACTAGAACTTTCTACGATGTCTAGTTAAAAAGTTTTTCTCCGCCCGAACGAACGAACGAACGGACAAAGTGAGATATTAAGCTACCTTTTCGAAACAAGTTTCAAAAATGCGCAAAAAAGCCACCAAAAAGACCATAGTGCGATTAGACATAACACAATAAATTACATAAAGCACAATTCACACTCAAGTCCACAGCTGTTATCAGCCCTCAATTCATCCATCTCACTTGCACACTGATAATGGACAAAAATTAGCACTGAAATGAAATAAAAAGATCCAGTTTAATGTGGATTGAGTGGTTTGGTTTTAATCAGAACAATTGAAAGTCGTCCGTGAGTCGATAACGATGTGAGCTCATTTTAATGATAAGGAGCTGCTGTATGACTGCATTAATGGGATTTGAAGGTTTTTTTGTGGTATTATGAATTTTAGGATTGAAGATGTTTTTTTTTTTCATTTTAATTGCACTTAATTGCATTTATTGACGACACACTGTCCGGTAATAATTCACATTTTACACTTTAGTATTTGTATACATATGAATTAATATTATGTAGGATCAATCTTCTAATCTTCAAATCCAGGTTTCAAATAAACTAAGGCTCTCGTTTTCGATCTTCTGTAGGCGTGACGTGATACTTTTCAGGTCCGTTCTAACAATATTCCATTCGTGGGTAATCTTGTAGCTCTCTTTCCTATTTCTCCCGCTACACTTCAAGTTACTGACCCGTTTTTTAAGCCAACATTGCCCAAATGCCCAATTATGGCTTGATCTCCTACATTAAGCAGTCGAAGTATCTAAACTTCCGAAAAAGAACAAATTTGGAAATGGCTGGATTCGAACCAACGACCTTCGAGTAACCATCCCAAATTTGAGCCAAGCGCCTTACCTATTCGACCAGCAAGGCACTTAACTGCTTATGTGATGTGTGGACACTCTGTGGGTTTGGTGTGGGTTTCTGATTTGGATTTCTGCAAGATTTGGACATGTTTTGGTCAGACCAAGTTTTCAAGCATTTTCCAGGACAAATAGGTTCTAAAAAGCGGAACATTAAGGATTTTTGGCGGGAAATTTGTTCAAAAAAGCTCAAAAGTGCTCAATTGGACAGCCTAGCCAAGATATGACTTTCTAACTTAAACTCCACAAAAAGCACTGACTAAGGCTGCAAGAACTAAGCATTTGTCAAACACATTGAGGACTGACATCACTGGTCCCAAAATTATCAATCCTAACCTCAAAAAACAGACTCAATTTTATCAATGCACAGTTTTTTTTTAAAAAAATATTTTTTTTTTTTATTTCAGCAAGATTGTCATTGATTTCAAAATGTTCTTTGTTGTGTCATTGCCAGACAACAAAGTAATCTGAAAATAAATGAACAAAAAATAAGTCATAACAAGTTAATGGCATCTGATGGTATCTGACATGGTGTTTTGCGGGTCGTTAATTAAGGTTTTTGAGGTTTATTACATAAAAACTGGATTGTAAGGTAAGGATTGGGGTCTATCAGGTTGTTAAGAGATTGTCAATTTTTGGATGATATCAACCTCAGGCCATTTTAGGGATTTAAAGCTAGAGATGCATGAATTTCAATATAAGTTGAGGTAAACTGAATCCTCAGTTCACTAAAAACCAGAGCTCGAAGTCGACTCGAGTTGACTCGAACCATATTGACTTCGAGCTCTGTGAGTTGACTCGAACCCTATCGACTCGGAGCTCTGCTAAAAACCACCAAATTAAAGCTTTTCGAGCCTTTTTCATCATCAAAAACAGTCACAACTTTTTTAATTTAACTTTTTATTTTGCTGAATCGTTCAAAAAAATTATTTACAGCTTTTTTTAATTTTCTTCGACTATAAAAAAGTGTTTTATTATCTCAGACAAACTTCAATCAGCATTTTTGATTGGCATTTAAATCGTTAGACTTTGAACGGCGGGAGTCATTGAGTCTGGTGGAGATTATTATTTTATTTAGACGTAATAATTGATGTAGATTGCTTTATATTGTGGATTTGTATGATTTTTAATGGTTTTTGGAATTGGATTCACATTAGAATTGGAAATTTAGACATTGTAATCTGAATTAGCCAAACTTTGTAATCTTATGTTGATCAAATTTTGGTAAAAGCTCAATTTCTTATTAAGTTACGCAAAAAAAAATATACTTTTCGATTATTCGACGACGATTCTTAATTTATATTAAAATTTGATAATTTTAGATCATTTTGATCACTTCCTTATCCTAGTTTGAGTCAAATCTTAGCACTTAGTGGAGCTTAGCTAGGTTGTGGCAGCTTAATTCAGTTACCAAGGCTACATCTAAGCAATGAGCTACGTTGAAACTCATTTTTAACCTTCAAAAAACCACCGCAAGAGCCGCAAGGTCACCACAACATCTTTATTGGGTTTTGTGGTTAACTTGGTGGTTTGATGGTTTCCTAGCGACTATGTTGAACTTACCATATGCCCACTTAATAGGCTGTCCAACTGCACACTTTTGAGCAGAACAATCTCGCGTTTTTCAACAAAATCTCGCCTAAAATCCTTAATATCCAATTTTTTGAACCTATTTTTCTTGCAAAATGCTTAAAAATTTGGTATGTCCTTTTACAGAGTTGAAATCAGAACATGTCCCGCTTTTTGACATAAAAATAGTTAAAAACAGATCGGATCGTTCACTTATGACGTCCAAAATTAACGGTCATTTTTCAAAAATTAACAATGGATTTCCAGGAATTTCTATTGTTCTTTTCTTGCTGAACCACCCCCCCCCTCTCCTCCACCCCAACCCGCCTGTACGTCATAAGTGAACGGCCCCAAAAACCAAATAAACAGCCTTCCAATGACGTCACTCATAATTCCAAAAAAAAATATCAGCACACCTATTTTATCGTCTCATATCCAAAAATTTCAATCAATTCAATTTACCAAGAATCAAGCGCAGCACACGAAATTTACCCCCATTTACAGCACTCCAGCAAACAGCTGTCATTCTCATTTCCTAGATAAAATGTCTCGTAATCCACATTTTAGCATTATCAGCCAGCTATATCGATCCACATCAACTGTCCCAATAATTTCATTTGAATTCGAAATGAGAGACATTTTTGCTTCTATTAATAAGCATTGTGTAATTGTCAGATGATAAGGAAGTGACAAAAAAAAATAGAAGCAACTTAGTATGAAGAATGTCGTTTGGCGCCAAAAATTTGACAATTTTTAATCTAAATTCATCAATTTAAATCCCCTTTCGGAAAAATGCATTCCAACCTTCTTTCATCAACATCTCACCTCATTGTCTGTTTATCAAGCAAGCACAGCTGTTTTTTCATTCACAAAAAGCGAACGTGAATTTTTTCAAAGCAATTCAGTTGCTATGCTGAAATGTATTTCATGAATAACAAATGAAAAAAAATTGTTTTTCGAGAGCAGCAAATAATGTGAATGATAATAAAAGTAATGAGTAATGGAAGTGAAAAGCACGTGCTGATGATGAAGTAGAAAGTTTATGAAATGAAGGGTATGGCTTTGCATGGAAGTAGGACGTCTTTAATGACTCTACAGATCAATTGTGATCAAAACCTTCCTTAGATGGCGTGTAAAGCTGGCTCTATCGCTAGCTAATGCTTTCCAACTTCCAATGAACTCAATTAAATATTAAAACAAATCATAAGATGTGGATCTTATTACTAATCGAGTAGTTGGCGCTACCCAGCGTATCCTACCCCTTATCTCAGATCAATATTAATTATACCCGATACTGTGAATTTGCTGAGCTGAACTGGCTCGGTGGTGGAATGATTTAGTACTTCGGTCCCTAATTATTGCATTACACAGCGATCATGGGTTCGAGACTGGGTTCGACACTTGTCCTTTTTTGAATCACCAGTACTGGAAATGAGGCTCACAGCCTTCCTTCGTAGGCTACAGACAGTAATGTCATCAAAGGAGTGGTTCGAATCCCACTATAAATTGTAGGTCTAAGTTTGAGTGCAGTGGTTTGGTGCATCCTCAATCATTAAACTCCAATTAGCTGCGAAGCGCCCTAGCGCACCTCTGGATCACTATTGATCTGAATAGGTAAAGGTTTATTTTGTTCTGTGAATCTGCAAATCGAAATTTGTTACTGCAATCGAGTGCTTTGGGTAAAAAATTAGAAATCGGGTAAAGAACCTTATTTCCTAGATGTCGTTGTAGGATAGCTGATTGGGAGGTCAGGGGGGAAACCACTTGATGAAAAAAAAAATTTCCAGCAATTTTTTTCCATCAAGTGGTTTTCCCTCTTTGGGGGGGTTGGAAGGGGGTTATCGGGAAGCGAGGTTGATTTTTTGAAGTTAAAACGAAAATTCCAATAATGGAGAGAGGGTGGTGACTTGACCCCGAACCCTGCTAATTACTCCCCAGGCTGCATCTGTTTTTAAATACATCTCACGACTTTATGCATTATTTTTTCGAATAAATAGTAAACATAACCTCCAAAAAAATCAGACATAAATAAGGCATCAAGGAATCAACTTCGTCAAAGCTTAACATCCAGTTATGAAAACCATTAAAGCTTTTATCATTACTAATTTGATCTATCAAACATTTGCAGGAGGCCCGGGAGTTCCACAATCTAGCTTTACAGTTCCAACGCCATGCATTACATGTCGCAAAATTTTTATTGATGGAGAGCCTCCATCCAATGTTGATTGTGATCCTGGCGCAACAGCAAAGGTTCTTACAACAGTATTTTTCACAACAGCACTAGGAACAGTTGATGGTGCCTGTACAGATCCAGTTGTAGAAATAACTGTTTTTGAAAAGCACAACACAATCTCATTCTTTTCAACGGATGTTTCTATGGAATTTATTCCTACATAAGATGAATATTTATTAATAAAAATAAAGGAACTTATTAAGCTTTACAGCAAAGGGTCTACAACATGATAGGAATTAAATTTGTTTGGAAATTCCTGCTAATTTCTTGTCATGCTGTAAAATCCTTGCTTAACTTTAATTATTTCTACAAAGCTTGAGTTGGAAAACCCCAAAAGAACTTTCAAATCCATTTAATCTAAATCCGCATGCATGCAATCAGCAACAAATGGAAAAAATAAATGCCAGAATGTCTAGCACAAGTGCATAGAAACAATGAAACAAAAAAAGCTTTAAAAAATGTCGATTTTAATTGCATATAATTTTCTCACGATTGCTTTGTGCATTTAATGCTAATTTGCTGAAACAATTAGAAGTAATTGGATGTGACGTAAAGGTTCTGACTGCCTTTTTTTCTGACGAAATAGTTCATTTTCTGAGCGAAGTCACGTACGCGAGTGAGCAGCTGTGTACTTTCTGATGCAATAAGGATGTTGAGTTGCTGTAATTTTTTTTAAGGATGATGAAAGGATTGCTGTGAATGACGATTTGGAATTAAATGGTTTTGATGAGTTAATGCAGTGTTTCTCAAACTATGTTCCAGGGAACAAATATCTTTGCTGTGTCAATAGTAGTTGCCAGCATGGAGCAAACACATGGAAGGTTCTGTGGCTTGAAAAGATAGAGCAACATTGAGTCAAAGCCTCGACCAAGGCTACGTGTTTTATATCAGACATGACAGCACCAATGCACAGCGTATCTCGATCGCGCGATATTTTTCTTTATCATTTTCAATATATTTCATTTTAGTGACTCATTTGCTGCTTTATCAGGCTTAAAATTAAACGTGAAATGCTCTTTTTTTATAACATTTTATGTCTTATCAGACAGATGTGAGACATTTTAAAGGCTTCTGGTTAAAATTAAGTTTGACTCATTAATTAAGGTGATTTAATTTTGTAGTCTGATTTTTAAAACTTGAGTGGGTGATGCTTGAGTAGGCGATGGACATGGGGCAGAGATTTTGAAACTTTTCATGCAACGGAGCTGAAAAACATTATTTTATGTGGTCACGCCTTTTGACTCAAAGCTCTGCGGAGCATTGGTTAAGAAACACTGGCTAAAGAGGTAGCTGGAGATTTATAGTAGTTGCCACGGGTCCAGGGGAATAGTCAGAGATTCAAAAGAGTCACCAGAGACCTCAAATAGTAGACAAAGGTCCATGGGAAGAGCTAGGGATCTAAAAGAGTTTTGTGAGGTCTATGGGGAAGCCAAGGGGGGGTATCATAAAAATCCCCCCCCCCTTCCCTCTGAATTTTCCATAAAAAATTTTTTTGTTCCCCCTCCCCTCTTCAAAATTCTTGGCTCCGCCCCTGCTAAGGTCTCTGGGAAAGCCAAGGGGTTTTATTCCTCTAAAACAGTGGTGTCAAACCTTTTTTTGTGCAACAACACATTTGGTGGTAAGCCATAGCCAAAACCGAACATAGCAAACGGTTTGTGGGATATCAAAAATAAAATCACGGTTTATAAGTGTGTCGCGGCACACGGGTTGAACATCACTGCTCTAAAATATTAAAAAAATATGAACAAATTGAGAGAACTCAAGACTATTTTTCCCAAATTTTTCCGGTACTCAACATACAAAAAACCTTTATAAAGACAATCTCAACAATGTAGCACAAATGATATCTAATTAAAGCCAAGTCCCCAAAAAAATCTATAATTAACCAAGCTAATATAAAAATTAGACGAACAAAAGAGACCAATCTGATGGTGAAATTTGCTCATCTGCTTCATCTCAGACAAGTCACAAAGAAAATAAAAATCACAAAAATAAAATTTTTCAAAAAAATACTAAGAAAAAAAAAATTTTAAAAATTCAAATCATAAAAATCACTTAAAAATTACATATACAGTTAGTAACAAGTTATTCACGCGTCCATGAGTCAAGCAGAAATACGTTAAACAGTCACTGACTCACACGTTGCGAATAGAAACATTCCCGAAGGTTCTAGACTTTAAAAAGCACATGTTGCTGTTAATCACAGCAAAAAAAAAGTGAGAAATAGAAAATTTTCAACAGGCATTTAAAAAAATGTCATTGGACTTACGGAAGGGAGGAGACAAAAAAAAGTTATGAAATAATTAATTGTGAGTCAGTCGACATGATGTGACATGATTTGACAAAAATCTGATGCAATAATTTAAACGTTCGTGTTTGTTGCAATTTAAAATGATTTTTTATCAAGATGTTGAGGTGTAGCTGGTTGGGTTTACAGCATGACACCGTTTACTGGCAGCTGCTTTTGTTAACAATATGAAACCCTCTCCCACAATCCTCATTTACCAGATGATGAAACTAGACTCAAAAATCAAAAATTTTACGATTTTTTCACGACTTTTTTTTAACAACTCAACAATAAAATTTCATTTATTTTCAAAAAAGTTTCCTTCTGCAGTCTTCCTTTATAAAGAGTCAAAACTCGTCCCAATCAATCCAGTATCTTTCCAAAAACCATCCAAAAAATGAGTTTTATTCTTAACATTTCAATTATTTTCTGTTTAATCTATCAATCTCTAGCTGGAGCACCAACTCCTCAACTGCCTACAACAACATCACAACCGACATCAACAAATGCACCTCTTTGTGTCAGATGTGGAAATATCTTGAGCCTTGCTATTCCTCCATCACCTGTTAACTGCGATCCTGGTGCTACTCAAAAAATTATGATTCGAGTTTTTTATAAAGATGGAAGTCCAGAGGCGTCGGGTGCGTGCACTGATGTAAATGCAGGAATAACACAGACACAATTCGACAGTAATATTTTAGCATATCTTGTTGATATTCGATTGCAATTCCTTAGCAGTTCTGGTTAATAAATAGAGTCTAATTTAAATTTGATTTTTTTTTTATTTTTGGGTGGGGTTGGGAGAGGGTTTATGCTACAATCAGGTCTACTGTTAAGAAGCTTTTGGACATTATGGAGAATTGGGAATTGAGTGCTAGCGCCTCCCATGATTGCGGGGGATACCCTTTTAAAATTACAAAGTCTAAATCATGCAGCTCAACCGTTGTTTCATGTTTAACGACAATTTTTGATTAAACGTTCCAAGTGGACACAAAATAGAGCATAATGCACCTTCCAGCATGTTTTAAGACTTTTAATGTGATGCTCCTTCCTTGACTAAGGAGCACGCTTGCCTATTTCCCCTATAGACGACTTCTGCCAGATTCTGATTCTCAGCACGTTTCCATCGTTACTCACACAGCAGTTTTCAGTCTATTAATAGGATTTAATCAAAAAACAACCATTTTTAAGGAAGTAAGTGTAATAGGTAAATCTTTGACTTCTTAACAGTCACTCGTGTTTCCTTTAGTCCCACCTGACTTCATCATACACGAGTGCATATATGTATAAAATTTAAAAGAACACCTGGAGCTACACAAGCTTCACGAAAATCAGGATCACAAAAAAAATCACGCTTTATTTCAAATAATTTACAATAAATATCGAGTAAGGCATTCAAAGCTCATCAGTTTACTTTCAGAAAGTCAATCATGAATTCATTCAAAACTATAATCTTCGCTTGCTTGATTTATCAAGCATTTGCTGGAGGTCCAGGCTTACCATCATCAATTGAACCACCACCATCATTCGCTTCATCATTGCCAGTCTGCATAAGATGCTCTAATATCTTTAAAAATGGCGAAGCTCCTTCGCATAACGATTGTGAACCGGGAGCTACTCAAAAAGTCATTTTGACTATTGATTTTAATGGAGTTGGACAAGTTTCAGGCTCATGCACAGATCCTGCAGTTGACATTTTCCAGTCTCAGTTACATGAATCCATCATGGATTATTCAACTGATATTCCATTGCAATTCTTAACAGGTGATTCTTAAAAAAGGAAGATTGTGAATAAATAAAAAATTGCACATTTATGTTTTCTGGGAACACAGCATGATGGGAAGTTTTTATGCTTAATTGTTTTTCATTGTGCTGTTGTACCTTCAAAAACATTTAAAAAATGTGCATATTCAAATTATAAATTGTTTTATTTTTTAAGGATAAGTTCAGTTTTAGGGATAAGGTCAGTTTTAGGGGGAACATTTAGGTCTCGAGAACATGTGCAGTTCAAGGATGAGTTCAGATTTTATGAAGAATTTGGTATTATAGATGCGACTAGTTTTCGTGATAGGTTCAGTTTTGAGAATTTAATTAATTTAAGCCGTTTTGGGGATAAGTTAAGCTTTACGTATAAGTTCAATATTAGAGATAAGTTCAGTTTTAAGAATAAGTTCAATTTGAGGATACGCTCAGTTTTATGGATACGATCAGTTGTAAGGATACGTTAATTTTTCAAGTTCAGTTTTAAGAATAAGTTCAATTTGAGGATACGCTCAGTTTTATGGATACGATCAGTTGTAAGGATACGTTCACCTTCCAAGTTCAGTTTTAAGAACAAGTTCAATTTGAGGATACGCTCAGTTTTATGGATACTATCAGTTGTAAGGATACATTTATTTTTCAAGATTGGTGCCGTTTTGAAAATTTGTTTATTGATGAGTAGTTTTGAGAATAAGTTCACTTTTTAGGCGCATTTCGGTTTTGACAATTGGATCAGTTGGTACGTTCAATTTTCGGGAAAGATTCGATTTAAAGAAAAGTTCAATTTAGCTAATCTGATTGTCAAAAATCATGTTTTATAGATTGTATGTCTGAAATGCATTAAGACGTGTATCTCAAACCACAAGACGACGTTTTCCCAAAACTTTATTCCGCAACCCATCAGATAAGTTTGATAATTGCAAAAAAAATTGTTATTGGCAAGAATTATGAAATCTTTCAAATTCGTCATCGATAACACGATGTTATGCCAGCGAATCTCGTAATCAGCGCAACACGTCAGTGTCCAAAATCCGTTAACAACTTTTTCTATCACTAAGTCATCTTTCTATCGAGTCATTCCTCCAAACACATTAAAGAAAACAAGTTTCAAAGCAATCTTTCCCAACCGTCATTTGTGTCGTCATCACACAAGCCCACTTAGCAACCAACGATCAACAAAAACGTGTTCAGCTAATTCATACAGTCAACCTCATCACTTTCTTCTTCATAACTTTACTTTTTGTTTAAATTTAAAATATTTTCTTTCTTTTT